CTCTCTCTCTCTCTCTCTCTCTCTCTCTCTCTCTCTCTCTCTCACAGTTTTCTATGTAGCCCAGGCTGACCCCAAACTCACAATCTTCCTACAGACAGAATTGACAAAGTCCCTTTGGTTATGTCCTGGAGTCACATACCTGTCCAATGTCCAGGGCAGGGTTTATGCTGAAGGCAGCATCCATGAAGATGTCGGTCCTCAGGAGCTTCACCCAGGGAGGAAACAGACAGCAGACAATGTTATTTACTGAGAAGGGATTAAGAAAACAGAAAAACAGAAACCCAAGATTGTGTTATTTCCAGTAGACAACACACCAGTGTTTGTGTGCCCCCATGGGGCACGCCAGCATCGTTCTACCTTGTGAGCGCCCGTCAGGCAGTCAACTTCGACCTCAGAGCAGGCTGCGCCGTAGACATAGTAGGGGTAAGCATCACCTTCCTCCTTCTCCCAGTCCATGTTTGTCTGGTAACCTCTGTGAGGAGAAGGCAGAAGAACAAAGGTGTTTTCCCCTCAGGGGTCTGCTCACGATGTGGCTGTGGATGACGGGGCAGATGGGATACATGACTCTGCCATGGAGTTGGAGGCCTGCTCTGCTTTTCCCTTGAGGAACTGGATAGCTGGGGCTTGAGATAGACTTTGAAGAGATGGATCATCTGGTGTCTGGTGCTGAGCTGGGCCATGGGTGTGTAGGATGGAGCTCCACAATTGTGGAGCTACCATGCCAGGATCTTCTGTGTCCCCCCCACACACACTCTTTCCTCTCCATTCCTTTCCTACTCAAAGAATCCTATATGTGCCATAGTCTTAATACCAGTCATGCACAATGGTTGCCCAAATACCATACAAGTAGGATAAAAGCACCATTACTTGAAATATCCGGTGGCCGAGAGGCTGATGGATTCTTCAAAGGCTTTTGCAACCTGGAAAAGATGATCCATCTCAAAGAAATAGAAGTTTACGGACAGTAACAAAAGCACCTTCCATGTCGGACTTGCTTCTGGCTTGTACCGAGGTCTGCCCTATAGCCAGTTCTGCAGTACAGGGGAGCAGCCCTGGTGGGTTGTATTTTAGAACTTGGGCTGCTTTGTGAAGTGCTGGCTCTGAAATGAAGTCAGATCTCGGTGAACACACACACACACCTCCTATCATTCTGAAAAAGTAGAAGAAGACACCAAGCTCTGGACGTGTGCTCCCTCCCCCTCCCCTGCCCCAGTGCGTGCATTGGGGACTTTGACCCAAGTGTGTGGCCTTGCTCTTTCCTGGCTGGGGTTGTAGAGAGGACACTCACCCATTCCTTCCATTTTCCCTTAGGGTTTTTCCTGATGATGGGGCGAAGACGGTCCAGGAGAATTTGGCAGGCGTTCTGAAGAGGGGGTGTTTAGAGGACGTTAGAAATGGAAAGCACAGGGAACAGGAAAATTTCAGTGATTCGGGGAGATTTTAACGGTGGTTCTTTCATAGACTTGGTTTCTGTCTCTTGTAGGATTTCTTAAACGTGAGTAGCGTGTAGACTGTCTTCAGGAGGAAAAAGTCCTGTGGCATTGACTTGAGGTTAGCAGTGTTGTTTAAATGTGAGCTAAGTAGAGGATCCTTGAAGCTAAAACTCTTTTGTGCACATTTACACAACCAAAACAATGAGTGTGCACACCAGTCTACACAGTAATAAGACGATGAGTGTGCACACCGGTCTACACGCCAATAAGACGATGAGTGTGCACACCAGCACACACACTAATAAGATGATGAGCATGCACACCAGCACACACACTAATAAGACGATGAGTGTGTACACCGGTCTACATGCCAATAAGACGATGAGTGTGCACACCAGCACACACACTAAGAAAATCAAAATAGCGACACTAAATTGAGAGCGGATACTGCTTTGCTGGAGCTGAGCTGTGGAGCGTGGGAAAGTGCGGGCGTCTGAGCTGGGCGTGCCAGCTCTGGGCCGGTCGCCAGAGGACAGGTCAGCTTTCCTTCCACTCTTGTTTAAATGTCCTTGAGTGTCTCATTTTATATCTCACGACGTTTACTTTTAACAAGCAAGAGAGTGTCGGTTATGCGTGCGACCCACTACATCCCTCCCTGCTCTTGGTTCCTTATTTCTTTATTTCTAGTGGTTTCTGTCTAAGTTCGCTTTAAAGTAAGGATTTCCTAATGTCAAGATAGATAAAAATGTCGTGTTAAAAAAGAAGATGGCCGGGCGATGGTGGCGCACGCCTTTAATCCAGCACTCGGGAGGCAGAGGCAGGCAGATCTCTGTGAGTTCGAGACCAGCCTGGTCTACAGAGCTAGTGCCAGGACAGGCTCCAAAACCACAGAGAAACCCTGTCTCGAAAAA